AAACTGTCCAAATGCTGAGAAGTCACAGTAGAAATCAGAGTTACACCAGTCAGACGACCACTTTTCATGCTGATGTTGCAAGTCTGGCGTCCTTTATGTACATGGGAAACATTATTAGCCCCCAGCTATCTACTGTTGAGTGATTTACCAGCAATAACAAAAGAAGCATGGGCTAAGGCCATTAACTGCCTATATCAACACCCTTTTTACCACTCCTGCCTGTCCCTCAACATAAAGCAAGGCATGCTGGGAGATGTAATCTGAACATAGTCACTTTTTTGCCTCTTCAGTTTTTCAAAGCACCTAATGTACAAAGGAGTCATGTGAGCCAAGTTTAAGAATCCAAAAACAGGTTCTTATGTCTGTGAAGGTTCTCATTCCTCCAGGTCATGGTATATATGTAAAAAATAAATCAAGGCAACTGAACTTGCTGTATTTTTCCAATTTCTTATAAAAATATCTTCTGAAATATGTACATTTCATACTGGCATTATGTACTTTGCCTGGAGTTCAGCATGGTATATTCCTCTTTAGTCCAAAAACTTAACCACTTCCCAACGACCTGACAATAAATGAATGGACAACATTAATTAAAGCCAGTCTCCAGGCAAAACATAATCCCCCTTCATCCCCTCCCCTCCAGTTCCCTTTTCACCAATTCAGCTTTATCATTTTAAATATCTTGTTAAGAACTTTTATACTCACCTAAGACTGCGCTCCAGATGTACCTTCCCTAGCCAGTCTCTTTGTGCTCGCAACGTTGTCACGCTAGTCCATCTTTTGGATCCTGAGAAAACTCTGACACGGGACAGCCAAAAGAAAGTGTAGACAACACGCATGATTTACCAATCATACTGATCAATGACTCTGCAGTGACTAGTCAGGTATTCGGACAGCAGTGGCTGCTGGCTGTCAGAATACAATAACCCAGCAGAAGAGATTTGTTTATGGTTTTGTGTGGATGGAGGAACCTGTTCTTATTTCTTTTGTTCAGCCTGCAGTAATCAGAATAAAGAGAAGAAACAAACGGAAACACTCATATGAGCTAAAAAAAAAATCATTTTTCATGCAAATTGTTTAAAAAGTTATTGAGTAAACTGGCACGTGTCAAAACGTAAAGAACTCTGGGAATTTAAAAACGTACCCTTGCACTGGTGCAAGGGTTAATGCTCGTTTTGTCTAGGGGGCTCAAATAAATCTCACAGGATACTCACAGGATCCTGCGCCCTGTGTCAGTCAATGCTTACCTTCTCGGCTCTGGCTATAGAATGTCCCTTGGAATCCTCATGTCTTCGGCAAGTCAATGGACCTGCAATAGTCATGATGACACCAGCGGTCTTTGGACTGCCAGAGCCCAGGGGAGAAGAGGCTGGGGGAACTGGTGCAGCAGCCCAGAGGGACTGAGGATTAGGTAAGTATATGTTCTTTATTGGAGCCCCCTACATTGCAGGGGTAGCCACTTCTTGAAAAATCCGGTCTAAACCCTGGACCTGAAGGGGTAAATAGTATATTCATACTCACCATATTACAAAGTATCTGCTCTGAGCAGAAGGAACAATTGTTTACAAATATTCTTGCCGACTGTTACTGCAATACAACATTTTGTTTTTACTGCTTTAGGATATTTTTTTCTTTTATTGTAAATCATCAGTGCACTCGCTTGTTAGAAAGCACAAACCTTTAACAGCAGCCAGCTCATGTGGGTAAGAATCATGCATGCTTGAGATGATGGGGGAAGAGGGTGGGGTGACAGACAACAGTGAAGTCAGACTTCTCCAGTTCAGATAACTCAATGGATTTTTTTTGTTATGTTCAGTATATAGAGCTGAGAAAAAGGTAATCTGACATTTTATTATTCCTTTTCATCTGGTCTGTAACAGAGCATGGAGTACAGAGAACAATTCTCAGTAGACACACCATAGATTCAACTTTATAAAATTCATATAAACCTGGCCAAACACAAAAGTGTTTCTATTTCTCGTCTGTACATGCTTTTTTTTATTTTTTACACTTAACACTGCCATGTCTGCAAACTACAGCTTACCTGTTTTAAAAGTGCAATGGCAATACTCCAGTGTTATTTTTTCAAGTTATATAATTCCAAAAACATTTTGCAGTATGCAGCCCATTTCTCCGTTACAATGCTACCTTAACATAGTATTAAACCTTCCTGTTAAAAAATAAATCTATATTAATATGCACTTACTATAGTCAGTAATTTCACTGTTTTTGTTTAATCCTTTTGCAGATTCTTTTTAACTATATGAAATGTGCACCCCTCCATTTTCCTACTGGAGGGTCTTTCTCACTTCCTCTTGGGGAGCACACATGACACCTCTCCTAGTTGCTGGCCAGTGGGACTACCTCTTATGAAGCATTAGTGGTTGGGTTCACAAATACCCATGCACGCTGGTCTTTCCTTCCTCATATTACTGCAGAGGAGGACCAGCAGAAACATAGTTTAGAAACGTTTGTTCATTATAAAAATAGCATTTCTTTTTTTAATTATTAAAAACCTTATATCTCTGCAAGCTATATGTCAATCTAAGTCAATGGGTGGGGAAAGGGGCGAATCACAAGCTCCCTTGATTGCTTGCCTCACCGTCTGAGTGCTACGGGGGTTAGTTAGCACACCACTGCGCGTGGCTCCATAGTGCTCGGACTTCTGATAGGTGTCAATGGAGAAATGGAAGTTATGCAGTCGCCCCAAAAACCCCCAGAGGATCCTATGCTGAAATGAAGAGCCTGTCAACAGAATAAATCAGAAGACAATACAAAATGTGCGTAGCTACTGTATATAAGAACTTTAATTCTTTGGCTTTAACAACACTTTTATGTAAACCTGTCATTATAGGAATAAATGGTCTGCCATAATGACCCTAATACTTTGAGTCACTAATTAAGGACCTGTAGCTGTGACTGAGGTTACACACGTGTAGGTGTGAATGGTCCCTTATAAATTCCCTTTAAAAAACACTAAACTGCAGCACATAGATATGAATCAGACATGCAGGAAATATTTGGACTATAGTTAAAATGCATTTACATGCAGTAAAATTCATGTGTTTACTGCAGTAAAACAGAAAAGTGTCAATAGGTCCTCAAAATATTTGAGGAAGGTGGTCAGCATTACAGCCAGGCAACTAGACCCTATATGATTGCCATGTGATTCTTTTACTTTAAATGAGTACGTTTAAAGAAATACTGTACATATGACTATGTGCTTGTAAGTGACTTTTGACACATACATTGAATCTTTTTTTCTCAAGATTTGATGCTTCAAAGCCTGGTGCCCAACCTGCAGCCCTCGGGGGCCCTGCAGACGGTATCCTGCATTTTGGTGCTTACTCAAGCCAATGAAGGATAAATATTCTTTAGACTAGTTCTAGTAGTTAAATGGTTTGGTTTATTCATTTACACTAGCTTACTTCTTTCTGTGGAATGCACAGTTGGACTCGATGGGCCTGTGTCTTTATTCAGCCTCGAATACTATGTAACTATGTCTCTAGTCTCCTATAGCATGTTTCCGTCTCCTATATTCTCTTGCAGCATGCCTGTCATCTCTGACAACTTTCTGTAGCAATACATTAATTGAACATGATGTGTAGCCCTTCAATTATATCAGCAGCTGCATCAGGGCCCACCTGTATTAAGTAACATTTCCAACTATTTCATTAAAAAGCCACTACAAAAGTATTGCATCCTGATGACTTCATCTTGTTCTGCATATAAATGTGGATAGAAAAGGAGTTAGTATACTAAAAACTATCACTAGGAGTATTCATCACATACCGTCATCTAAGCACAATTGTGTTCACAATAGGCTTCCTTTTATAGGACTGACTTGTATGCATTCAGTTAGTCCTCATTCACACTGGAATGTAAGCAGTTTCAGGCGATTTTGAAGTTTCATGTTTGCATGTTTTTGTGTTGCGTCTTAAGGCTTAAGTTTTTGTTTTAACTAATGCAAAGCTAGTTAGGAGGAGGAGATTGTTGTTAGGTTAACTATTGACTGGAAAAAGCATGTTATAAGCATTTTCCAGTTTCTACTATTGAAGTCTATGGGGCCAAAAACGTGCAATTCTGCCTGGAAAAAAAAAAAAAAAAAGAGCTCATGTACTTTTTTGAGCTACAAGCAGAAAAATAATCAGGTGTGAATGGACATAACTGAAAATGATGGGATTCTTCATGTTGAATGCAAAATGCTCAGGTTTAAATGGGGGCTAAGGCAGCACAAGGGAGGTTGGTGCTGCTGTTTAATAAGTCTGCTCTAGGATCATAGCTGTCAATCCCATTAGCACTTTGCCAACATGGAACTTCTATTCTCTCCTTCTGGGTTTTAATCGATTTCACTGAATTAGTTGCTTCCAACAACAAACAAACATACATTATACTGGTATGAAAGTGTGTGCCTGTTATTCTGTGACAGGGACATAAGGTTAAAAATTCTAGTGAGCAAGCACTGATGTGAATGGTAGAGAGAACTTTGTAAAACAGTATGCATTGGTGATGAACGCACATCCAGAGATGCAGAGATGGATTCAAATGTTATTTTAACAGAATCACTACCTCTCTCCTCTGCCATTCAGAATGACAGTGTCCCAATGTTTCTCTCCATTCATTCACTTTAGCATAGGGGAAGTGACTGCTTCCCGAGCACACAGCACAGGGGACACACATGAACCCAGGTCACAGCTGCAGTGCTGCTGTTGTATGAGACAGCTTCACATGCTCTTCCCCTGACATTTATTCCCTCATGTCTCCCTCTCTGAAAGGGGCACAGCTCATCTAGGATATAGGCGGGCTTACTGAGCACTCCCTATGGTAAAAGAGGGGAGGTCTAGCTTAGCTTGAGCACATGTCCTCTGCTTGCTGTTTAAGGATAAGTACTTCAGGTTACTAATCTTTCACTCAAAGCAAAGCAAAGCAAGGCAGTTTTAATCTGGAAAGTCCTGAAAGAAACCTGCAGTTTCTGAGCAATACTTAAAGATCATTCTGGTTACCTGAGCTCATCTGTACAAAGAAAATACATTGAGATGTGGCTATCTGCTGTCACTGTGCTGCTGGTGGCTGTCAAGAGCTTTGATGTGGGTCTGGCACAAAGTCGTAAAGCTGTGGAGAATGCAGGAAAGAAGCAATATCAGGTGCAGCATGGGGCATGCAGCTATACCTTTCTGCTGCCAGAGGTGGACAGCTGCCGCTCGGCCCCTGCTAATCCCTATGTGTCAAACTCAGTGCAAAGGGATGCCCCGCTGGACTATGATGACTCTGTACAGAGACTTCAACTACTAGAGAACATCATGGAGAACAACACACAGTGGCTTCTAAAGGTAATTTTTATATCTCAGTGTTAATATTCAAAGGAGTTCAGAGGTTTTTTGTTCTGCAGTGGGTAGGAAAGCCAACAGCAATTTGCCTTTCATTACAAAAGTATAATAAACACATTTATGTGGTGCCTGAATGCTGAAATCATTTACTAGGCTTGAATGCAATCATTTGGCTCAGTTGGTGTTGGACAGGTGAATGTGTACATTGTAGTTTTGGGCAAGCAGAAAAAGGAGAGCAGGACGGGACCTGGCAACTAATCATGAATATGCATGAACAATGACATTTCAATTTTTGTGCACAAAAGAAGCGTTCATACTATATAATAGCCTTGTAATGTGTAGCTGCATATTATTGAAAAAACAGGATCAGTCTGCCGCAAGTAGTTCCATTTTTATCCAACTCCTAAATGATTTTGCACTCAAGTGATCTATCAATCGATTAATTTTCCAATCGAGTATATTCTTGCATTACCACTTTTCATTGCCTGGTCTATCTTTGTGAAACTAGGCTACATTCTCACCTCTGTGTTTTTCTTGTGCATTTTAAGTGCATATTGTTATCCATCTCCATGAAAGGTGTAATTTGCAGAAACCGCAACAAGCAGAAGTTATCTTATTAATACAGTAGAGTGAATTCAGCCACAGTGTTAAACAACTACCTTATAGGCTCAAGTATACAGAAGATGAATGTGAAAGATCATAACTGCAAGGGGGACTTCCTCCTCCAAAATACACAAGCAAGCAAATCTGAATAGGTATCTAGAATTCAGGGTCGGTTGGCATAAGCTCTAAGATGACTTGCCAATGCCCAATCAATTATGCTTCAACAGACAATGTAGGCATTTGCTTAACTCATCATAAAACAACAAAAAAGAAACAGTTTGAAGTCTGATTTACTAGAGAAGTAATTGGCAAAGTTGTGTTAAAGCAAGAATATATTTAGTTGGTGTTACTTGTAATGCCAATATCCATATAAAAAAAAAAAAAGAAAAACTTTTTTGTTGTTAAAATCAATGAACAAAATGCATTCAGTGATTAAAAAAAGAAATACAAACGCAACTGTACTATACTGTATATAAACTTACATTTTCTAAGACTTCTCCTGTGTGTTGTGGTGCGTTACTGCATGCATGTTAACATGATGTTGTGTAAGGTCAGCCTATTTATTTTGAATGGACTGCCAATGCACAACAGCACATGATAAACCGTACTGTACCATTTGCTTTAACACTGCTCGCAAGGTGCATTTGGGTGGTATTTAAACATAGGTGTGAAGCCAGCCTAAAATCTATTGTTTCAGTTCTGTCTGAGGACCTAGGTATTCTTGATAACAGTCATGAATGGAAATTTGTCTCCATGAAAAGCATGCCTGGACATGCACTGGTTGAGAAATTAAATAAAATAACAATTTTTCAATCTGTCAGTGTTCAGATTCATACCATAATGTAATACCTGAGCCATTATGTGTGCTGACATTTAAATCATTATCTGACTCTAGCAGTGCAAAGAGCTTCTGAGGTCCAAGCAGGATTTTGCTATAGAGTGGGAGCTTTAAATATACATGGCCAAATCCACAAATTTTTTTTACTAATGATTATTCTGCAAGGGTGGGAATAATGGAAACACTAAGGGCTTGTTCACACCAAGTGCGGAGCAGATGCAGAGCAGAGCAGTTACAGAACACATCTGTTGTATTCCAATGGTATTTTGGGCTCTAGTTCACACCACAGAGTTCAGTTCCAGAGCATGTGGGAAAACGTATTTTTTCTGCTCTGTGAACGCACCCAAAGGCATGCAAATGCATCAAAAATGCATGCAAAGGCCCTGGAACGCGCTGGACTACACCTGAAAGCCCATTTGAGTCTAAAAAAAAACGGACCAGAACAAAATCAAAACTGAACTCCTGCAGATCTGGTCCGGATTTAGTGTGAACAAGCCCTCAAACTGAGTTCTGCATTCTTTTAATCACGCTCTACGACACTGTGATCTTCCTTCATATATGACAGATTCCCTTAAAATTTTAGCTGTATGACTAGTTAGCGTGATCTGTCAGAAGACAGAATCTTCCTGGAGCTGATACATTTATTATGACTCTAGAATCAGTCACACTCTGCACCCACATAGTAAGGAATAAGGGAGGACACGACCACCCACAGGTGAGCCCATTGAAACAGCTGTCTCTGATTTGATGTTCTACGCTCCATGAAACGCATGCTGGATTTACCTACAATACAGACTGCATGCAAAACAAGTCCCTTGTGGCTCTTGTGAAGTCACCCTTCTCTGTCTCACACTAATTAGCACTGAAAGAAAAATACAGTCTATACAGTACTAAGAGTGCAAGACAATAAATCATCTTTACGATTGTCACATGAGGGTCGTGTACATGGATGCATGGAGTAGGGTTCACCGAGGGTCCACTGAGGGAATATTCTCATGGTGACGGCAGACAAAAAAGACTTTACCATTCCAACGCTGCAGAATGTGCTTGATCACAACCGGATGCAGCATTTTTCATCCTTATTTATAAAATAAATATTCCTGATCATTAAAGCAACATGAATCAACTATTAAGCATGAGTTTTATTGCATCGGGAAACTAAAAGTGCTTTGTGCAATCTTTTTTCTAAACATAAGTGCAGCTGGGATTATGGAGTGCTGATGACATACAAAGTACAGTAACCCCCAACAACCATATTTCATTAACCTGAAACAGTAACAAATCACTAAATAAACTAGTTTATGTAAAATATGTAAATACAATTAACACTACATATTTTTTAAATTAGCTCATTATTAATCCTGAACTGTTAAAATGTCAATATACTAGAATGAAAAATGCATAACTTGGTAATACTGATTACTTAAACTCAGACTTTTACATAAAGTTGTCTTAATCTTTTTGGGATGGATAAAGAACAATAGAAGGGCTAGAATACTTTTTTATATTTTGGAGAATATTATGCTTGGTGCTGCTCATAAGACCAAAAGCCTAGGCATTTGATCACATGATCTCTGCTGAAGAGGAGCACCAGATATAAGATCAATCAAAGTGCAAGTAAAGGTTTTTTTTTTTTTGAATGCCAATTGTTGGGCTTCTTGTGGCAGAAGAGTGTGGGCCTGTTAACACAATATGTGTTTGGGCTGTGTTGGTCGTTTTTTCCAGTGCAGTCTGGACCCAAGACATAGCAATTTGCCTTGTCATGGGTGGGCACAGTTCACATCAGCACAGTGTGGGGGTGTGCACTTCAGAAAAAAATAAAATGAAAAAAAAAACAGCATGCATTCCTTTTTTTAAGCCCACGCAGTGAGACACTGAACAATGGCATCACACCACGGTGTGCCCATAGAACTTAATAAAATTTAATTTTTGACATTTCAATAAAGTTCTAACAAAAAAAGAAAGTGCGATGTGGCGCTGCTGGTGTGAACAAACTCTGTAAGTCTCTTCTGCCATAGAAGCTTCTTCCAACCATTTAACATTTTTATTATTTCTGTACACTGAGCCACGCATGCGTAGCTCAGCGCACAGAACCGGCATGCAGTAACTCCTGTGTGCATGTGTGGAAGCTACTTCATGTCAGTTGGCCAATCAAGAGATAAAGATGCAAATCCCAGAAGAAAACAAAGCCAAACATGGAAGCCCTGGAGAGGGAGAATCCCAGTGCTGGAGGGGGATTGGTTTGGCAGGCAGGTCTACAATAATGCTGTGCATACTAGCACATTATGACTTAAAGCTCCTGGGTTTATTTTTTTTCCCACTGTCACTTTACTACCGCTTTAATGCCTAGGCTTTTAGTAATGTAAGCAGCACCGGAGAGAACCTGGAGTGGCATTTTCTTTAAGATAGGCAAGTATGTAAGCCCTTCTGGAAGGCTTTATTTATCTATCCTATCAAGTAAAATCGGTAAATGTTCGTACAAAAAAATCCTGTCTGAACGTTGGGGAATACCATCAGAGACCTGGCAATTGTCGTTTGAAATTTTGTTTGATTTTCATTTAACATTCGATTTTACAATGAATGGAGTTTCCCAAACGAAAACCACATTCAGCATAAGAATTTCGTTCAAACGAGAAAAAAATTCCAACATGATCCGTCAGCTGATTCATCACGGAGTTCGAAATCGATCATCAATTTGACCACATCAACAATTAGAAAGTCGGAAACATGTTCAGAAATTCATCCTGTTTGTTTGAAATTCTAATTGTGTATACCCTACTTAATGTAGTATTAAGGTCTGGGCGTTTTTTTACCAGAATGCATTCTGGTAAAAACCGTCCAGAACCTTTTTCTCCCCCAGAGCAATAGGCTCCTTCTGCCATCAATCAAAGAGAGAAAGGGAGTGGCCGGCCACAGGGCTGTGTGTGTCTATGGCCACATACAGCCACGAGCGCGCACGGGTGCCTCCATTAGCCGATGGAGGCACCCTTACAGGGGGCAGGGTAGGAACGCTGCCGGGACCCACTTGAAAACGAGGAATTAAAAGATTTTAAAGAAAAAGAAAAACAGCCTCAGGCAAAGGTGGGCATCCCTTTAGCAAATAT